AAGTATTATTGAGTATCTATACATATTTCATATGCTTGCTCTCTATTATGTTAAAAATTTTAAGCAATGGGATAATTGGTTTAACATACTATGAAAAAAACACAGAATCGTCTAAATGTAGGAATGAATACACCTTCCTCTAAAACCTTAGTATGTACATTCAAACATATTACGTGGTGATTTTTGCTTTTTAATTGCCGTTTTTTGAGTGAGTTTTTTATTTTTATTTTAATAGTTCAAATATTTCATATATGAATGTATTTAATGGAAATAATATTTACATCTCTAAATGCATTTAATAGTTGGACTCTAAACAGTGTGGGATTAGAAAAGAAAATGCTCTAATCCAAATCTGATTATGAGGCTTCTTGAAATTTACATTGTTGTATCTTGGACTGTCGTCAGCAAAATAAATATTTTTTCTCTTTTGGAAGTGTGGAAAATTTTTATTAGAAACCAGCGATTTTTTTTTTGACCAAATAATAATTTCAATTATTCCATTTTCTTCTTTGTCTATACCCAAAAAGTTCGATTATTTATAGGGCACACCATGTATACTTTATAGGATGTCCCACGTATTTTTGGAAGCATAACAAACTTTGTTGTAATTTGATATACCCCTGTTCAGGGCATAAAAATACACTTACGAATGTACTTCAGATCACACATTCATATATGCATAGAGAGGCTATATTTTTAGCGCAATGTCCATTGGGCAAGAGTCAAGAAGGTCGAACAATGAATTAAGCAGCAAGCGGTCGCTAAACTGCTCTCTTAAAACATGCTATTACGAGTATAAAGAAAGTAGGAACTTAACAAAATTAAACTGTGACTTTACGTAATAAAGCAGCTCAGCTACTCAACAGGGAAAAATAATAAAGTTAACATAGCAAAGTACTTAAGAATACAAAGAATGCATAAATTATAGTAAAAATAGGGGGATTCTCTTGTTCTTGCAAGATTGCATATTGTAAAAATCCAATACCGAAATATACAAGGGCACGAAAGCACCCATTGCAGAATTCGGTCAATTTTTTGTAAATGACTATGGTGCATGGCTATTGTGAATTGGCCCACCTTCTGCATACATTTTTAACAAAAAAAAGCTGTAACAAATCTTTATAATTTAAATAGAAATTATAAAATCTATTTAAAATTTAACTTCCTCAACAATTTAGCGTCAGAATATGTCTTTATGTAAAATGCCAGCTGAAACAGGGTTGCAATTATGTTTCATAGGTCTTTGTCTGACATATTTTAAAGCCCTTGCAAATATTTTTCTGCATGTGTTTGTTGTTGTGCCGTTGACTTAGATGGAAACATCTGCAATTCTTGCACCGTGCAAGGGTTTTGCAAGAGCAAGAGAATACCTCTAGTATTTTAGTAAGAAATTAACTTAACAATTATACTTACACCTTAATTAATGGAAATGTTTTGTACTAAAGAGGACAAATATGTTCATCTTAACAAAAAAGCTAATTGTTCGCTAGTAACACTTTAGTCATGCAATAGTTTTTTCTTTTTAGTTTGCTAATTAACTGATAAAAAAAAAAAGTATATGTATTTTCAAATTTATTTCTTTATTATATTTAAAGTACATTATTTTTTATTACTGCTTTCACTGATATTATTTTATTATCACTTTATTGTTAGATAGAATGCTGACGTAATATAATATCGCTAATGTAGTAATAACCGTATAATCTATATGATGTGTAACTGTAATGTGTAATTAGTTGCATAATTATGTATTTATATCAAAGATATACACATTTGATGTAAAATCTAATCTAAGTTTTTCAACTACAAAATAATAACAGCACTAAGTGATTGAATGATAATTAAAAGAGCTACGGTCATCCGGTGGCAATGGTCATGGCTTACATAAGGTTTAAGGATATGAAAACGACCAATATTCAAACAAATAATAAACAGCCTGTTTATATTAACTATTTCAATATTTTCGTTTTTGTTTAAAGTGCCAATATTAGTCTTAAAACAACTAAATTTCATCCAATTCTTATCTAAAACAAATGTTCCGTTGAGTATTCAATTGCTACACGCTCTTCACATATCCGGGAAAAGCGCGCCGAAGCACGCGAAACGGAAATAAGATGCAAGAAAATAACACTTAGAATTACAATTACAATATTTAATTTCTAAGTTATAAAACAAATGCAACTAAATTCGGCTATTGAAACAAACAATGCAATTTGATACACATAATTTCATCTAAACAAAGTTAATTCAATATTGTGCTAATATTCATTACAAATTATTTAAACTCTATTAATTGCTAAATTATTAAATATTTAATTTATTTTAATTCTGCTTAAAAGTTACATTAATATATTATTAATTAAATATCAAATTATTTGCTATTCAGATGCTAAGCAAAATATGAGTAGAACTCTAAAAGGGTATGACTAGGAGTGGGGCCGTGTATACCAAATAAAAAAATAATAATAAATACCTTTTACTTAAGATTCAAAATTATACGAGGCCATCACTTGTAACGGGTGATGTTCTTTTTTCAATAGCCTATTTTCCACACATCGCGTGTGACTCATGTGAAGCGGTCATATTATTTTTGTTCAGTATAGTTTGTTATTTCATCATGGAAAGGTTTACGCCTGAACAACGTCTACAGATCGTTTAACTTTATTTCGAAAATTCATATTCTATAAAGAATGTGTTTCGCGCACTTCGCACAACTTATGGTCAACATAATTGGCCTACTGAGCATACTATTCGCAACACCATCATCCATCTTGAAACCCAGCATTTATTGTTGGATAGTATTCGACCGAATAGACAACGTCCAGCACGCAGTCAAGAAGATATAGTAGCCGCATCTGAGACTGAGCACAAAGACTTGCAGAGTCGATTCGGTGCCGTTCGCAATAACTCGGTCTGACGTATGTAATGACTTGGCGCATATCCAGTCAAGGTCTTAAATTGAAAGCTCACAGCTTGTGCAAGAACTGAAACCAATCGACTTCCCAAGCGGTATCGTTTCGCTCTGTGACCTGTTGAAAAGTTCCAAGATCCGTCGTTTTCGAGCCAAATTTTGTTGTTTGAAGCACATTTCTGGCTGAATTTAAAGAAGAAAATTGCCATATTTGGGACGAAGAGCAACTTGGCTTGGTGTGTTTATGGGCTGGTGGAATCATCGCGCCATGATAACCACCTATTTGATGCCTGAACTCTCGGTGACATTTGGTTGCACCAAGCTAGCGCCACTTCCCACGCATCGCATCAATCGATGAATTTATTGAGAGAAGCCTTCGGTGAGAAGACAATTTCATATTTTAAGCCAGTCGATTGGCCACCAAGGTGGTGTGATAGTAGACCGTCAGATTTTTTCCTGAGGGGATACGTAAGGTCTACAGTAAATGCAGGCAATCCCTCTTCGATTGAGGTCTTGAAGCAAAACATCACGCTTGTCACTCGCCAGTTAACAGTCGAAATGCTCGAACGAGCCGCCGAAAATTGGACTCAACGGATGAATCTTCAGAGACGTATCCGCGACTAACATTTGAAAGGGATAATTATCAAAAAATAAATGCCAGAGAATGTTCTTTGGAATGGTAGTAACATTCCCCATTAAATTTGAAGTTTCCTTGTGTTTTCCTTAAAAAAGTATGGAAACTCGAAAGGAATTTCAGCGTTACTGTTATCCTTTTTAAATATTGGATCATACAATTTGGTGTTAAAATGTACTCAATTTACACAGGTTTAACAAATAATGGTTCACAGCTGTCAAAAACATAATTTTTTTTTATATGTATGTGGAAATTTCCGTGGCAATAAAATGCGTAAATATTTGAGTTTTCTGTCATTTTGTCTCTGTTGACAATTATGATTCTCAATAGTTTTATCACAACACAAAATTGAATGCGGATTTTTACTTCAATTTAAATTTCTAGTTGGACAATAAGTTAGCAACTTCATTGTATGGTTAATTGAGCACAAATACTTATCAATTTCGAAGATTTTTAATTGTCTTATTAGAAATCTGCTGCGTAGCGCTGGATGTTGAACTAAAAGCAATGCATAAAAAGTATTGAAGTGATAAAATTATTAATATTTATGTTCGCATGTTCTCAAGTAATTAATAAATAATTAATTTTATAAATATTTGAATACACAACCCCACGTTAGATGATATTTAATTATGATAAGCGTATATGATAATACTAAATATTTCTAGTTTAAGGATGTGAATATTTAGGACTCGCCGATTAATATGTTTAATTCCAATGATTTTTCCGTAATTCACAGTTTCTTTCGATTTCCTTCGATACTAGTGATTATAGAAGGAGAGTAACAGCTCATATTGTAGGTTAGTGTGCATTCTATTAATTGCTACACATATGCATATGTATATATGCGTTATTATGTATAATTGTGTTAAATAACTTCCGCTTATAAATCTTACAGTTATTTGCCATTGACTTTACTTAGATTTCGGCTTAATCTTACGACCAACAACCTATACATATATGTATTGTTGTTTGTATGCGTATTTTAAACTAGATCCGTTCTCGTATAGTGTATATAGGGCTTCGTTAATTTTAATTAATTTTTGTTGTTGTATATTCTTATATAAATACAATCTGCAACTGCTTTGAATTATTCTTTGAAGCACCGTTTAATTTTCGTAAGTAACTGCATGCAATCCTGTTATTAATTGCACAATTGATATAAATTACTCTTACATTTATTGACTTTCACATAATTTGTAGTAAATTTGATTTCTGCGTATAAAGCCAAGTCGTCATGGCACTTTACTTTCCTTGCAAATTAAAAGGGAATGCCTCCATAATTAAATGTGCTTAAAACCTCTAGAAAAGTTTCGAAATATTACTTTTACCGTTAATATGCTTCAAAAAGGTCATATGAATACTGTATTTACATTTTTAAAGAATTACAATTTTAAATAACCTTTAAGTGTAATATATATTTATTAAGTATAACATATGAAAGCTTGTGTAAGTAAATATTTGTAAATTGTGTGTGAATGCAAAGTATGGATATGCCATATTTTATTTTATTCTAGTTTTGTTTCACATATCACGTGTGCCTAGGTAAAGCCTAATATGAACTTTGTATATCGTCGGAAGGTCGCTGTAATCTGATTAAATTATACGAGTAGACAAGTCGGAACTTATGTAATTAAGTCTTTACTCACTTACAAATTGCATAGTCAATCATACTCTGGAAATCAGGAAGTCAATTGCATTTGTATAAAAATATGTATATTTTAACACAAATTTAGAGCACTCTTTCCGATTTCTGCTTAAGTGCATATGTATTAAATGCAGTAGAATAGTACCGTAATAATCCTGCCAGTTTATGTACTAGTTTATTGCTTTTTCATCAATGTTGAGAATACATAATTTCTAGAATATTTTTAAGATAGTGCATTTTTCTGTAGTTTAATTTAGTTAAAATCATAATAAGCAAGACTATCGAAATGTAAATCACATGACAATTTTTCTAGACGTGGTACCCTACACGTATGTATATGATATGATATTGTGGCAGCTCCGATCTTGGGTTGTTTTGAAGCTCAAAAACTAGTCTCACGTTTAGAGATTTGCAAAATTACAAAACCAGTAAGAATATTGACAGATAAGAACACTTTAGACATACATATTGTTGTCTGAGAAAGCTTAACGTTGTAGGTTTCTGAGGTTTTCTCCAATTTCGAGAAGTTTATAGAAGTTATGAAAATATCTTTTCATTCAATAAACCAATCCTAGAGTTGTATTTACTTGCAACGCAACTTTACTTCAGTTGAAATTTCAACATCACCGATGCCACAAAATTTTTAATTGAGTCTTTCATATTTTTTGTGTTTTTGCCATATACAAGAAAACGTAACTTTTCAAATCACCCTTTATCTTTATCTGTCAAATTGACATTTATTTTTACAGAAACTGTCAGGTTCTCAGCGTTAACAAATAACACATTGTACTCTTCATTTCCCTAGTTTGCTTTCTGTTTAAATTGTGAAGAGCGCTAATTGCTCTTCAGTAGCTAATATATATTGCTGAATAGACTTAGAATCAATTGATTGAAGTGAAAAGTTTCAGAAAATTTAGAACTTATTTACTGTTGCGACTATTATTTATTTTTTGAGCTCTGTTTATTAATTGTTCTGTTTTGATCACCAACAAAATTGCATAAACAGGACACTTGCATGAAGTTAATGCGGAAGGATCACTCACATATCTTCGAATACATACAAATTAGCACTTAGGACCTCTTTACCCATATTAATTAATTTATATTTAACCAATATTCATTAAAAAATAAAGCGGCAAACACCTTTCTTAGTACCTATGAACATACTATATATATACATACATATATGCATACGCGTAAACTCACGCTCTTCACGTTTTGGCAGTGAACAATTGTATACATACATATATATGTTAAATATGGTCTGCTCAGTTCTGCGATAAATAATATTATTATAGCTACTACATCCATACGTTCGAGTACAATCATAATGTTTTCGAGGCTTACAAAAAATGCAAAATATGTTCCCGCTTAAGATTTATCTGACATATACCAGCATAATTGTCTACATATAGTTATATCTTCACGAATTTCTATATTAACGCTGCCATGTTTATGCATAGATAGATATAGTGTTCGTCAATTATGTGGTAAATAGCAATGTGCAATTATTTCAGTCCTTCAATTATACTTTACTTATTGTTTTTCGCTTTCATATAATCATAAATAGAGATTTTTTAATCTATCTTACGGCTTACTTTACGCTGGGCATATTCATATCAATATTTAGTAACAGCATTTTAATTGTAATACTTGTTTAATGGTAGTTTTTATGTATATTTCTTACGCTGTGTTTAGATTTTTTCTTTCGACATGTCGTATGAGTAACCTTCAACCGCGGGTGTATGTATGTATGTTATTTCCTGTCAATAAGAAATATTCTGAACGGCTGATGACACCATTTATACAAATTTACCATAATTATCAATTGTATTATCGATTCGTTCCCTGTTACTACTTAATAATTGCATAATTACAATGTTTTTAACGTTATTATAAGTCAATGACATTTAATTAACGTATATACACATACCTATGTAGATACTGTATATAGCTACGTTTACACGTTACATGAATGTACCAGTATATATTCATCGTATATACATATAAGTATAAATACATAGATAGTCAGTGTCAAATCAAAGTAGAGTCAATAAATAAAATCTAAAAGGTGATACAGTAATAGGGCGGGTTGTGTGAGTGTTTAATTAAAAAGCTTAAAGATAAATAATACTGTATGAATGGATTTAGGCAGAAAACCCAATAATTTTGGTTAAAACTACACTCTCTTAGTTTGCAATTACATTCTGATGGGCTTCGAAATATTGCCTTTTGACAAACATTTGAAACACAGCTTCTAAAATAGCCGAAAATTTGGTAATTAAATAATTATTACCTATTTTGGGGTGCGTTGAAACTCAAAAACTGATTTTACGTTTACAAATTTATAAAAATTACAAAACCTGTACGAGCCATGACAGAAAAGATCATTTCAAATATAATGTTCTCTTACAAAACTTAAGGTTGTAGATTTCTGAAGTTTTCTCCAATTTGAGCAGGTTATAAATGTTATGAAACGACTTTTCATTCAGAAAACAATTGCTCGAGTTGGTTTTATTTGTGGAGCGTCCTTCGCAAATACAATATTTTTCTGATTTTGGTTTTAATAGAGAGTTAACCAATGTTCAGATTGTATGTAGAGAGAAACTCTATTCAACCAAGGCTTGCAATCGCATCGTAATACATTGGGGAAAAGTTATATAAAATTACTATTTTGAATAGAATAAATAACAACGTAGTTATTTTGAGTTCAAAAAAATAAAATTAAAATAAAAATAAAATTTAGTGTTTTTCTCAAAGGTCTGTAGTATTTTGGGATAATTCCTTAAATCCTTTCGCTGGTTGGACAATATTGCAAGGCTGAACTAGTACGGTAGGATTAGGATTTTATGTACTACTTGTGAGTCCCTATAATCAAAACAGTCCAGAACTCACATTTACTCTTCTACACATAATTTTTGTTTTTATCATTAATCCTCATTGAGTCCATTTAGCTCGACGCTCTGTGACTCAAGACTACGTTTCAGATCTGCAATTGTGCTGAGGATCATTTGCTTTTTATTAACCTCATCACCGTTCGTGGCTGCAAATTCGCTATCACCGTTACAATATTCTCCCACTGCTAGATACAAGTCGTGACTGCTTATGTGTGTGTTTAAACGTGGATTCGAGCTTTGACGCTCCCGACGCCTCAAATTATGTATTTTTGCCAACATTGCTTGTTTTGGGATTTCTAAAATAACGATTATTATTAGTTTTTTTCGAAAATAAAAACTTGTACTTAATTATCAAAGCGCTCACCCGCCTCCAAATCGAAACTTTTTTTGATGCGGTCAAATGTCGAGCTGCCGCTGTAAACCTTTCTCTTCAGCGGCTCGCTCTGTGGACAAGCTTGCATTATTCGCGTCTGCCAATCAGCAGCTGAATTGTCTGATTTTAACTTCAAATTGGTCACATTGTGGTTAGACAAATCTGCTTCATCATAGCGTGAAAGTCGTGCGAACTCTGGCAAGTAATTATGGTTTACAGCATCCACATCGGATATTTTGTTCGGTTGATCTTTGTAATCGTCATTTCTTAGTTGATTTTCGTCATAATCTTTGTTTTGAAACTCGGAATCAGAGTCACTATCGAAGTTCTGATTACGACGTAAATAAGCACCACACTTGTGTCGAGACACTAGTGATTGACTACGGAATCTGCGTTCTTGTATGGTTATGGATTTTGTGCTCTGTGACATTAGTCGGCCATTTAGTTGTAGTTGTGGGGACTGTGGAGGTTTTGATGCTTCCACCGATTTGCGCGCCGGTACTTCTGGTGGCACATTTTGATTGATGAAATTCGTTATGTGGGTTTTCCTTGGGCTGCAGCGACTGAACCGTGGACTATTAGGTGCTGACGCAGGTGCATGTCGCAGTAGGTCTATACGTCGATTTATAGCGGCCGCCAACTCTTGTTGTTGCTGTTTCTGTTGCTTTTCTAAATGGATAGCATCCAAAGATCGTTGCTGCGCTTGCTTAAGCTGTTCGCGGCGCGTTTCTGTTTCACAGTTCTTTAACATTTCTACTCGCTTGTTGGCCAGAGGATTGACTCGTCGTGGACTTGAGACGGGTGTGTCACGTGGTATGCTGGAATGTATGAAAAGTTAATTAAATATTTTACTTGTTGCAAATTACTACTTACCTTTGCATACTGTTTTTCATGGAGACTAGTAGGGATTCAGCTTCCTGTATGAGTTGTCTGTACTTAACATCTGCCTCCAAATCCGCTTTCAACAAAGCCCGTTCACTCTCTGCGATTGTCATGAAACGTTTAGTATCTCGTACGTCTGTAAACACCAGTGAGCTGGATCTATTTGTAAGCGGCGAAGTCTCATAAATCCTAAAAGCATATCATAAATTATTGAAGTCGACCTTCTCTTTTCCAAATTTGGTATATTTACCTATTCTTCGCTGTGATATGTCTTTGTCGGCGCACGCACACCGGCGTACCACCTACACTGCGTGACTTTCGAGATTTGTGTGGCGAATTCGGTTGTTCGTTACGATTTTCAGCACTCTTCTTGCGTGTCTTGAGAAAGCGCTTACGTCGTCGCTGTGAACTAATTCCAGTAGCCATGACTGCATGGCTTTCTTCTGGGCCATTTTTCAAACTTCTTGAACTTCTGCGCGAGCGAACGGATGCGCGTTTTCCACTGTGCTGGTGCACCGCCTTTGGACTCTGGTTGTAGTAATAACAACTGCCCAAGTTGCAGTCTGAGCCTCTACGCTCAGAAACCTCCTGCATAGATGAGGTATCAATGAAGTCTATATCGAGCAGCTCGTCAGTATCACATTCATCTCCAGCATCCTGTCCGGTGTCTAAGTCGGAGGCACAATCCGTTTGGTCAGAATCACTGCTGCAAAATGTTCAATTTAAGTACTCATTAACCTTGTATTGCCAATTAATATAAGTTGCTACTCACCTGAGTATATCAGTCTCCTTCTCATACACGTAACTCTCATCAAATTTTCCCATCATTTCGTTCAGCGTGGCATCATCATCACTTAATATCGGCTCCCTGTTGCTTCCAGCCCGCTCATCACTTATAACGCACACAGTCGCCAGCACGGCAGCTAGAGGTTGGCCTACCTTCATCTGTAATTGTTCTGCACGCTTACGACGCACAGTGTTGGGTGTGTAGTTCCTCTGCATATTTTCCACTTCAGTCAAAGACGAAGAGCTCTCTGTCGACTCATACCCTGCAGACACCTTGCCAGCATTGTTCCTGCAAAGCAGATAAAAATTAAGCGGTTTAACTGTGGCCACCTTTGCTCTTTTCTTCTTGTCGAGAAACTACACTCGTTCGGCTTAAAGCGCATTATGACGAAGTATTCGATTGCGCTTTCTGCGTTCTACTCGACCACTTACATGTCACTTGTCTGTTGGATGTGTTGCACTACCCGGCGTCCATCCGTTGTTGCATTACTGGATCTTTTTCCAGATGACGATGTGCTTACGGCATCAAGTTCCCTTCGCCCACCTCCTGAACTTCCACTTGTCGTCATCTTACCCAGTTTCTGATGGCGCAGAGGCGTGCCGACAGCCTCAGGCAGCCTCGTTGAGTGCGCTGACGAGGAAATCGTCGACGTGTCAGATGTTGTTGACATCGCTGTTGGCGGCGGTTGCGTTGGTGGCTGTGGTGGCAAAAATGCTAATACATTCTGTACGCTTACACTGCCTGCCGCTGGTGCATTTGCTTCCGTTGTGAGATACCACGGATTCGTACGTATGCGACAACGTTGTCTGGGGGAGGGTGCTGTGCGATTGAAGAGAAAACGAGCAATTCGAAACGTGACAATGACATTTAGTTATGATATTGATCAGCGAAGTCAATGATTTTGTTTATACTTTTATGGTATACTGAATAGGACTTACATTCAAAACCCTTCAAGGTGGGCAAAACAATAGTGTTACGCAACGGTAAGGGACTATGTCGTCCAACACTTTCAGGATGTTGGATGGCATGTGGGGCATCTAGTGGTATGAACGGTTCATGATGCGTGCCGTTGTTGTTGCTGCAACCTTGGCCCTTATCATACGAATCGGCGCGCTTGTATAGACTGGAAGCATTGGCGAATGAAGTCTTTGGCTAAACAACGATGCAAATAATATGGGAACAATTAATTTGAATAATTCTTTATGTATGTATATTTCTATAAAGTTAACATTAACTGAGGTTGAAGATGTGAGATTTGTTCTTAAAACCAAGGGATAAAAAGAGGTATGTGGAGAATTAGTGATGTATCCATATGCCATTGTACTAACCCTTATTATTATAAAATAAAATATCTATTTTAAAAGTAAAATATGGTATATTATGTTAATCTAAGGGAAAACATAGCGTATTTACTATAAAACCAAACGCTATCCATCAAAATATTTAACAAGGCTTAAGGCTGTATTCTGGGCTCCCAGTTAGGAAAAATTTTATTACTTAGGCTGTTAGATTTGACGATATAAATATTTCAATGATTTCGTCAGTTTAACTTCTCAATTACTTAAACTTTAAAGAGGAGACAAAGGTTTACCTACTTATTATCGATAAATTAACACGCAAATTTTTAATTCATTACTCTAAAACTAGATATTCTAATTCAAAGGCCTTCAGCTTACCATAGGATCTATGGGGGACATTTCTTCTATTTTATTTAGACCAAACTTGTACCGCTGCGCCTCGATTGCCAGCGAGTTTATGCTCTTCGGAAAGTAATGCGTGCCGGTACGCATATTAATATAGTATTCCGGTGGCGTGTAAATTCCGCCTGGCGAAGTGCCGTCGGTGGAATAGCCAGTAGAGTAAGCACTTTCTGGCGATGAGAGACTATGGAGCGGTACGCCAGCCACACTTCCTCCTGGCTGTGTGCCGTTTAGAACGTGTCCATTGCCAAACCGACCGCCACGCAATCGTGAGCGCTGACAGTGTATGGCTGCTAAATTGTTCAAATTACCAGACTGATGACTCGAAGAAAACTCGCCCGATGTACTGCACACATATCCATTAGCCGAATTTTGAAAGTGTTGCGATATATATTCAGCGCTACCACTTCTTACATACGTCATCGAGCCATTCGCATTCAAACTATCATTCGAGTTGCTGCAGCTTTGAATCTTCGACGGCAAGAGACGTCCGTAGCGCGTGGATGCGTCATCCTGCGAACGCCTGTCCGCGTAGAGTGAACGTGCAGGGGTAAACGAGGTGAGCTGCTCGGATTTGGGGCGTTCGTGTATGAAGAAAGGATTATTGCTATTGTTGTTGCCATTGTAATTAGAACTACAAAGATCGGGATGACGTAAAATAGTGCGGATCTCCTCATAGTGAACGGTATTTGGATCCTCCTCTTCGAAATGTCGCAAATCTGTGGTACTGTTATCTTGTTCCTCGGGTGTAGGGAGAGGTTTTGTAAACGTACTATTATTATTGCAATTGTTCTGAACAGTTTTACTATTGCTGTTGTTGTTGCCACTTGAGTTCATGGAAGGCTCTTTAGAGCCAGTGGACCACGACAGCGACGAAATTGATGACGAAGAGCAATCGGCGGGATGTTGTACTGTATTCTGCGGCAGCTGTGAGGGTTGCTGCTGTTGTGATGGTATATGGTGACCGTACGATTGTGTGAATGACCTTGCTCGCAATGACCGATCATCACTTGAATTATCCTTACTGTTTGGCACTGTATAAGGAGGTTGTTCCTGATGTTGCTGCTGTTGATGGTGATGGTAATTTGTGTGATGCGATTGGCTGCGTATGCGATGTTGTGGCGCATATAGGAAATTGTCGGATTTCGGTGAAGTGATTGTCTCTTGATCCGGTGACTGCCAACCGTAACGACTCTGCGTCTAACGGAGACCAAAACGAAAAGAAAAATTAGTTGAAACACACAAAGAACTCGACCCAGACCTAAATAGCCAATCATCCCTATGACGATTTAAGTGGCCAACTATACATTAAAATTTCCGCAGTGAACTTACATGGCCTTGAATAGGCGAGACTTCACGACGTCTGACCGGACTAGCAATGACACTGCCGCAACCGCTTCCGCTACCACTGCCACAGCCGCCACCGCCACCTCCACCATTGTGATGATTAGCACCGAATGAGGACGTCGTGCTGGGCGAAACCATTACTGTCGTCATTGTCGGCGCCGCGGATGCGGACGAGTTGGCAGTGATTGATGGTGACGTGGAAGACGCGCCGTTACTGCGCGCGTGATGAAGCGTAAAAATTGCGCTCGAATTGTTGCTGGAAATCTTTTTGATGCTGCCAACGTGATGATGATATGCCTCATGACTGCAGCCCGCGGCAGTGGCGGCACTAACAGTATTGCTAAAAGGAAAATGCGGAAAAATAAGCAAAGAATAAAAGACTAATGCGGATACTGCTCACAAATCCAAACTTGGTATTTCAGTTTTATTTTACCTGTTTGTAGTTTTATTTTTGGCGCCCTTCTTACGCGGGCGCCCAATGTGGTTTTCCATCCATGAGCGTAATTTCGAGCCGAACATCGTGTCCGAAAATTTAGTTGCCGTTTGAGTTTTAATGCTTTTATATTTATTTATAATAATACTTATGACTTATTATTTAAGTATTGACTTCAGCATTGCTTAATTGTATATCATTTCGGTTTTAATCCTGTATATGTTGAAAACAATGGACGGATTTCGTCAAACATTTCACCAAGAAACTAGAAAAGAAAAAAGTAACGTTAAATTATATTTTATAATAGTAAATATTATTCAAATGAAACAAATTACGACTATTATTACTACAATGGGAATCTGGATATCTAACATTAAGGAATAATTATTAGCTCTAAAAAACTTTTAAATGATATAACGGGTGATTTAAGTAGAGGTACTCTTTCCAATAGCTTTTTTTAACAGATCACGCCTGAGTCGTATCAAGCTGTATAGCAGGAGTAACAAAGAGTGTACACGAATACAGTGTAGAATTGATTCGGAGATCTCGACCTTTCCAAGCGACATCGGTTCGCTCTATCGACTCTCGAAAAGTTCTAAAAATGTCCGCCAAATTTTGTGCAGCGATGAGGTCCATTTCCGGCTAAATGGGTATGGAAACAAGCTAACAGTCTGCATTTGGTACAAAGAGCAACCTGAAGAGATTCAATAGCTGTCATTTCATCCTGAAGTAACAACGATTTGGAGTGGTTTGTGGGCCGATCCATATATCTTCAAAAATGATGTATATGGAAATTCCATGATAACCGACTAATTGATGCCTGTATTGATCACGGTGACATTTGATTTCAACTAGATGGCGCCAATTCCCACATATCGCATGAATCAATGCACTTGAGAGAAAACTTCCGTAAGCAGATAATTTGACGTTTCACATCATACCGTTATACTATTTCCTGTGAGGGTATGTAAAGTCTTAAGTCTATGCGGCTTCGATTCAGACCTTGGAACAAAACATCATGCTTGTCAATCAAACGAGTCATCGAAAATTAGACTCAACGGATGGACCCTCTGAGACGTAGCCGCGGCCAACATTTGAAAGAGATAATCTTCAAAAAATACCTAATGAAAAATAATCGACTTAAATAAAATTAGTGTAATATATAGAGCCAACTATTTGTAATTTGCTCTGAAAAAGTGATTGTTAACCACAGTCAACTTCACATCTTCACAATTTTAGAAGTGATGTAAGGTGGTTATATTATATTAAATGTTTAAATTGAAATTGGTGGAGTTCCTCTCTCCACGATTGAGTCCACTTTGACGATAATAATTTTTTATACATATTACCTAATAAATCTGAGTTGAGTTGTCTGAAATTACTATATATTTCATGTCAATTAAAATAAAAGTTTCGTCGAGTTATTTTTGTAAAACACTCGCTTCTACCGGTAACTCGAGAAAATTGTAGATATTTACTCTTTGTTTTTTGACCAAACTCACCACCTTGGTATCCAGTCAATGCATAACTTTTAGCAATTTCCTCCAGCCCAATAAAAATAATAACTTTAGCTATTGGTAAATGAAAGCGGCCAGCCAAGGGACAATTTTTTCAACAAAAATGTTGTCAGGAAAAAATGTATATCATATGGGGATATATATACCATACACTACGATGAGCAAACAGTAAGACTGTGTTCATAATTTTAATTTGTTCATCAAAATCTATGGCGTTGCTCTCAGAGCCTCCTCCTTGACTCCAACACACTTGTACCAACGTCCTCGAAACAGTTGCTAAAGTAAATTTCTGTAACAGTCTTCAACGCGCGTAGCGATTCACGTTTAATGTCTTCAATTGACTGAAAAAGGTTTCCCCCGAGCGGTCGTTTGAATTTGCCGAATAGCCAGAAGTCACACAGAGTTAAATCAGGCGAATACGGTGGTTGGTTGTAAATTTGGCGAAAAACTGACGAAGCATCAATACAGTATGCAAAGGTGCATTATAGTGGTGCAAAAACCAAGAATTGTCGACCCATAATTCATAACACTCAAATAGTATTTCTTGCTAAAAGTTTTGCCGGTCGGAAGGTATTCGGAGGGAAAAACACTTCGATAATCGAAGAAAACTCTTCTTCTGCTCCGCTTCACCTTTGTACCATACGATGCCAATACTTAAGATCTCTGACTGTTGATCGTCGTTTCTAAAGCACCAGTTTGTTTATTTTATTGGCGTGTAAATCATCAGTTGATGTTGATCCGCCGTGATTCGTCGTCAACGAGTTCTCCACTCTCTTTGAATAATTGTAACAATCAAAAACACTTGCTCGCGACAAACAATTTCCTTTTCCAACATTCTGAACGTTTCGGCAATAGAAATTTGATTCCGCGCACAAAATTCAATAGAATTCGTTCTTTGTTGAATAATTTCACTCATCGCAAAAATTGCCGAATGCACTTTATGCACTTCAGAAAGACAAACGTATACTAAACACTAATGATAAAGCAATATTGGATGAAGATGATACTTTGAGTCAAAAGCAAATGGCAGCCGTGTTAAATGCTGCACAACAAACAATTTCAGACTATTTGAAGGCTATGAGAAAGAACCAAAGGTGTGGAAAATGGAATGGAAATCAGTTCTGCATCGAATTGTCACTGGCAAGGAAAATGTATTTATTTTAAAAATCCTAAACGGAGAAAATCACGGGTTAATCTGGGAGACTCATCAACATCGATTGGTATGAAGAAAATCCCCCAAGAGCTTGTAACTGTTAATGCTAAACGCTACAGACAACAAATGATCAATTCGAACAGTGCATTAATCGAAAAACGACCAGAATGGGCCAGAAGACACGGCAAAGTAATTTTGTTACACGACATTGCACCTGCACACGAAACAAAATCGGTTTAGGATACAATCAAAGTACTTCTTGGGTATTTCTAATCAAACTTCAACTTAAATTTTCTTTATATTTATACTAATAAATATATAAACAAATATGTACAATTTTGATCGACTAATTTCGAAATTTCCAGAACGGAATCGAGCGAACCATTGTTGTGGTACATGAACTGATATAGCTTCGTCACCGCAAAATTCACAAATTTCATTGGTGGCTTGCGTGGCATTCTTTATTATTTTCACTCATTTTTGAACAGCTCTAACTCTTTTGAAACTTCTCCGAATATAAGAATTTATTGATAATTGAATGTCTTACAGTCCTCCAAAATATCCAATAAACCCAATATCCCTAATACCTTTAATAATATTAAATATATCAAACTACTGTATGCATATTAAGAATAGTGATACACTAATGTTTTATCTTATCTAATTGTTTCATCCATCATTCAAAATTTAAATCGATTCGGAACAACGTGACTAAAATTATACCTATATTTTTTTTAACTCAAAACTCATTCAATTTTGTTCGTTACTTCTATAACATTTTCCTCACAATAAACGATCTTCTGCACCCATTTTCAAGTATAATTTCCTGTTTGCCCCAATTTTTCAAATGACTTTAAATTATGCAATACATTTCTCCCACCTTCCGGATAACTCAGTAGGGCCCTTCGCAATCAATGTTTTACATGCGAAACTTGCCGTCAAATACCATAGTTTGCTAAAATGAATTTCAATTTGTTTGAATCAGCATGCGAGCGGTGGGTAAATGTGCCTATGTGCATATGTATATATGGTTATTTGGTTTAACGCCCTCACTAACTTCGTTACACATACTCTTTCACTTGAGTTCGTAACAATAACTTCCAGTTGTTCTAGTTCTGTCAACGTTTCATATCAAGTAGCCGACAGGCGGATATCAGCATATGTACGTATGAATATGTGCCTGTAAAGGGTCCTAGTTAGGACCCAACATACTATGTGCTTGGGCAGGCCAACAAGCCAACTTGGAGTCAAACTGGCTCAATCTGCATCAAATTGTAGGGTTAGCTCTCGCATGCGTTTTGTAATACTCTTACCGAGCATTAGGCGCTGAAGTGCGTATAAGTGTTCGTATAACGGTGTGGGGATATCCGACATCGCCCACATACGTTATTATTAGACAGACAAGACAAAAATGAAAACTATATTATTTGTTATGAAAATGGGAGCCATTATAGGAATTGTTAGAACTACATATGTAAGTATTTCAGATGATTTAAGCAGTAGATGTTTGTAAGCGAATTTTTATCACGAAGTTCTTATTTTCAACCAAAGGAGCCGCCAACTCAACGCAAAAAACTAAAAAAAAAAAAATTGCTTCAGCTTCCGACCTTATTATATCTTATATCTTTTCGTATTTCTAATCAAACTTCAACTTTTTTTTTTTATATTTATACTACATAATGAATAAATAACAAATATATACCATTATCATCGTCGAACGCTTTTTGGCACTTTTCCGCAAGCGACATTAATCCATCAGTGTAAATCGAAATTTCCGGAACGGAAGCGAGTGTGCTGCATGAACTGATATAGCTTCGTTTCTGTAAACTTCACAAATTTCATGTGGCTTGCTTGGCATTCTTCCCTTTTTTATAGAAAGTTTTTAAAAATATAGCAAATGTCTTCATTGTTTTCACTCATTTTTGAACAGCTCTAACTTTTTTCAACTTCCCCGAATTTAATTTTGTACAAGCTTTCGAAGACCCAATAACAAAACCTGGCGTGAATACCAAATGGACCACAAAGCAAATTTTGTTATTTTTTTACAAAGGAATCCATTGAACCCGTTGACGAAGAGTGGCACTAAGGTAAGAAGAACAACGGACACCAATGGCATCGGAAAGCGAGATTCGCGCAGTCGAGCCAGATACTATGGATCTAAGCTTGCAAACAGACTCTCAAAACTTTATGCTGAGAGGGGCTCCTAGGCGCCATCTTCAGCAAATTAATATCCCTTAAGCTAGAAGACACAAATCCTCCTCCTTGACATCCTCGTTAAACGATTCACGGAATCTTGCATTCAAGCATTAGAGGTGGCTTGTCGGAAAACATGCAGCAGAGGAAGAACAACATCACCTCAAATCATGGTGGTCTCCCCAACCCTACAGAAGGATTTCAGGAACCTGTTTAATTTAGA